CTCTACGCCCCCCTTGCGTTTGGATGTAGTACATCAATTCTGGGATACTTCTGACTTGTTCCTAGAAAGTAGTAGAAATAGGCAGCTACCTGTCATGTGAACGGTATCCCCGGCTTGGAGAGTTGTATGTAATAAAGAGTTGGGATTAAGGATAAGTTGCTGTTATACTTACATTAGTTCCAACATTTTTAGGATTGGAGACTTGTATGTTATAAAGAGATAAAGAAACACACAATTTAATTTATTGAAGGCTAAATATGCTTAGCCAAATATCACGAGAACCTAAATCAGAATTTACCGTAACTCAAGGATCAAAAGTTCATTTATCTCTTTAGTAAAATAAGAATTCAAAATGTATTTTTTAGTTTCTAATGAGGGAGCATAAGACTGAAAATATTTTAGTGTTAAAAGGGTAGGAGCATGTGAAATCTGTAGGTTATGCTTTGAACTTTTACTCATAGAAGAGGGAAAAGAGTTGAAGTTAAGGTCTATCGACATTTGTGATTTCTTTTTTGTTGCTTGTATGACTTCCTACACAGGTGTCTGATGTTCACAAACGACCAAACTCGGAACTATGTCATGCTAAAGCTTCACATGATGAAGACTCTCACATTTCTGACAACCGAGGTGTCCAGATGTTGGTTCAAATAAAGCATGGCTCGTGCCATCCTCGAGCAATATTATTCAAATTACTTGCAGATACTGTAGGTCTTGAAAGCCGGCTAGTTGTGGTGAGCTTGAAAATTATTTTTGCTTGCACATTTCTGTTATCTCTAAAATTAGGACTAAACATTGTCTTGCTACTTGTTACTATGAATTGTTGCTAACATTTCTTTAATTTCCATATCTGCTTGTATTTTACTTATTATAGTTTTATGTTTCGGAAATCAGGATTTACCTGCTGAAGGAGCGTCCGAGTGTGAAGAATCTTATAAGCACATGTCTATACTAGTTGTGCTAAATTCTGTGGAGCTACTTGTTGACCTTATGCGTTTTCCTGGTCTACTTATTCCACGAACAACCAACAAGTCTATTTTCCTAACCCACATAGCTGCTGGGGAGAGTGATTCTGCAGAAAATGATTCCTGCGATTCACCTCTGGAGCCGAACAGCCCCCTCTATGGGGTTTCAGAGGGAAACGATACTGATAGGTTAGAAGGAAATTATTCTTCGTTTTGAATATATCAATTTCAATTTAGTTTCTATACTCTTCTTCTGTTGTGTGATGAGAATTTTCTATTTAATTTTCATACTCTTCTTTTGTTCAAACTACCCTCCCCAGACCCCACTTGTGGGAATACACTGGGTATGTTGTTTGTTGTTGTACTCTTCTTCTGTTGCGTGATGAGAATCTTCGTAGACATACTGTAACTTCCTTTAGAAATTTCTTTTTCTTTGGTGGAGAAACAGATTGTTACACTTATATGATGAGAATCTTCGTAGACATACTGTAACTTCCTTTAGAAATTTCTTTTTCTTTGGTGGAGAAACAGATTGTTACACACTTATATGATGAGAATCTTCGTAGACATACTGTAACTTCCTTTAGAAATTTCTTTTTCTTTGGTGGAGAAACAGATTGTTACACACTTATATGTTGTATTCTGTTATTTTAAACTGATCTTCCATTTCAACAGTTCTGAGAAAGATGACATCCTCCAGTATCAGAGGAGATTTGAAGCATCTTCAAATGCTGCTGGATATTCGTTGAGGAATATGATGTTGCGTTCTAACACTTCAATTGACAGAAACTGAGGTATTATTTAGCTCGTTCTGAGACCTTCTTTGAATGTAAAACATTCTGAACATCCATTTGTTGGATTACTTTAGGAAACTAAGGTATTATTTTGCTTCTTTCTTATTAAATCATTTCTGTACCAGTTTGTCGCATAGTGAACTCTAATACTGCTACAACGGTTTGGAGAAGAGGTCGCAGGAAGTTATAACAGAACCGAGGACTGCAAGTTCAAGATTTTCTTTTTCATGAGCCAGACTCTACTCTTTTTTGTCCTTACCATGATATTTCAATATTTTGGATATATTTACTCACAGTCCTGTCATGTTTGGGTCTATTCGTGCTTGCACATCTCTCAGTATGTTACATGAATTTGGGTGTGAATGTTAGAAATGATGATGAAACACACAGGTAAATTTATTCAGTTTCTAGTAGGTTTTCTGACGGCATCACTTCTCTACGTCAATGTTACCAAACATTGTTGCCGTGAACATATCCTTGATTGGATAATCAGAACGATGCTGCTGAGCACTTCGATTTCTCTTACCTCTTTTTATTGACCATGCAACACAACAACAAACCCAGTAGTTTCCCACAATTGGGGTCTGGAAAGGGTAAGATGTACGCTGCCTTACCCCTACCCCTGGAAGGGCAGAGTAAAATTAAAACCTCTTTAAAATGGAAAAACTATGTGCAGTTTGTTCATTTTTTCTGTTCTCAACAGAACTACATTACCCTTTCATATTTTTATGGGGAGAGGTAATACCAAAAATGCTAGTGTGCATCTAAGTCAAAATATGTGCAGGTTCTAAACTTTTATACTCGTGAAATGCACCCTGTTTCCTGTTAATAACTGAATCAACATAATCAGGATTGTCAAATATTATTATTCTTATTTTTTATAGGTTACCCTTTCAAAATTTTTCTTTTTTTTTTTTTCTTTTCAGAATTCTGAGTTCCCTATTGTTTCTGTGTTTCACAGGTCAGAAGGTGCATCAACATCAGAAACACAAAGAATTACGAAGAAGAAGCATTAGTATAACTCCAGAAATTGGTGATGATATTGTAAGGTCAATGTTTCTACTATAATGGTCTTATCGACAGTGCTTACTACAACTCTATTATACATTGGCTCATTTTTTCCTGTACAAATTTTGTGCAAATCTGAATGTGTTGATTCCTACTGTGTCATTATACCCATCTTCCTGGCAGATTCCAAGAAGTTTCTCAACTGTGTTTTATTTGAAAAAGTTTATAAAGTTTTTCATGTTCACAAACAGAGGTAATTGATATAGAAGCAAGAAAATGTGTTTTTGTTTTTTCAGAAAAATCAAAGCAAAGCTCATTGATTTTACTTTGACCCTTCTTTCTTAAATTCTCTATGAAATTTAAAGAAATTTCTATTTTTGTTCCTTTTCGGAAACAGCCTCTTTACCCCCTCGGGTAGGGGTAAGGTCTGCGTACACACTACCTTCCCCAGACCCCACTAGTGGGATTTCACTGGGTCGTCGTCGTCGTCGTCGTTGTTGTTCTATTTTTGTTCCTCCCTTTCTTTTGTGTGTAAGCTTTTTTCCATAATTCACCTTTCTTATTCTATTTCTTATTCCATATTTTGCTTGAGTTTTTCAAAAATTTCTCTAACTTTATTTTGTTTTGCGTAAGCTTTTATTATCTTTTATATTATTTTCTTGCTTTTTTAAATTGTTGCTGTCATAATAACTCATTTGCCTAATACATATTACTTTATTGAAATGTTATTATGTTTAGATAATGGTCATGAAAGTAATAATGTGGGTGGTTTGGTGAAAATGAAACAAAATTATGAATCGCAATAAACATTTCCAAAGAACTATCCGAACGTCACCTAGGACCACTTACGGGCAGATATAGATTACAGTACCTAGAAATCGTGCCTGGAAGTTTCTGCCACTATATGGATGTTGACCTGAAGATTGTTAAAAGACTTGTTAGGTACCACGTTCTTGTACTTAATTTCATTTTTGGCTCATATTGATACCAGGGCTGTTAGAGCAACGAATGAAGCACTTAAGCAGACCAACTCTTGAAAGAACAAGGGGAAAATAGTTCATATCACGCTTCAAACAACAGAGATTATGCGTCAGATCCGAAAAAGGATGTATGTTACTTTTTCTCTCTGTTTTGAGGACCACTAGTAGTTTTGATGTCTTTTGCTCTGGTAACAGTTAGGTTTTATTTTCGATCCAATGACCGGCAGAATTATGTTTTTCCAGTTGGAACTCTTTTAAAATGTAAAAGGAATATGATTGAAGGGCAAAGAATCGTAAATCATATTCTTGTTGAGTGTTCTTCATCTGAACTGTGGTTTTGGATGGACATGTTGTCCATTGATGCCAGAGTTACTTTTTTTTTTTAGATGAACTAAGGTGTTTCATTAATAAACGGCATCAAGAAGATGCAAAGTTACAAAGAACAAAAGAACTAGAGCACAAAAATACTAGTTTGTTAGCCCCTTTACATCAAAACATCAGGGAACTAACAAAATCAAAAAATTGACCAAAGCTAATTACAGGAGTTAAGTTAGTCCAGCAAAAAAGGTTAAGCAGACATCTAGCTTTAAGAGAGTGAGTTGGAGTTGAGATCCCATCAAAACATCTACGATTCCTTTCATTCCACAAGCACCCAAAAAAAACTGCAGGGATCATCACCCAGATCTTCTTGATGGTCTTTTCAACTCTCCATAGGCTCCAGCTTGCATATGCTTCACCAACATGCTGTGGCATGACCCATTGAATGCCAAAGAGAGAACAGAACATATTCCATAGTTCCTTAGCCACTCTACAACAACAATACAACAATAACAACCCAGTATAATCCCACTTGTGGGGTCTGGGGAGGGTAGTGTGTACGCAGACCTTACCCCTACCCTGAGATAGAGAGGCTGTTTCCGATATACCCTCGGCATCCCTCCCTCCAAGAACTCCCCACCTTGCTCTTGGGATGACTCGAACTCACAACCTCTTAGTTCCTTGGCCACTCTACAATGCAAAAACAGATGGCTGACTTACTCGGAGCTGCTTTGACACACTAGCTAGTAATTCCAACACGCTATCTATCTCCCAATCCTGAACGTATCTTCGAATAATACATTCCAATTGTTCCCACATCTGTTTTGAGCAATAGAGGAATTCTTATCTTGGGCAATCTGGAATAAATTTAGGTATGTCTCCATGAGTGGAATATTGTTTAACCATTTATCTTTCCAGAAACTAATGTTCAAACCATTCCCAGCCTTGAAAGATACTTGCTCAAAGAATTCATTTCCCAACTTGTTGATCTGCTGCCAAGGACCAACCCCATGAGATGATGTAGATGTGTTTGTTCTCCAGTTGTCCCTTCTACCATGTTTAGCAACAATTACTTCTTTCCAAAGGCTCGACTCATTTGTACCGAACCTCCATAGCCATTTCATGAACAGACTTTTGTTGCGTAAGGCCAAATCTCTAATACCCAGACCTCCATTGCATTTTGATTGTGAGACTTTGGACCACTTGACGAGATGGTATTTGTGGGAGCTGTTGTTTCCTTCCCAGAGAAAGTCTCTCCTGAACTTGTCTAGCTTCTTAAGTACCTTGCTAGGGATGAGAAATAATGACATGTAGTAAGTGGGGATGCTATCAAGGACACTATTGATGAGAGTTAGTCTCCCTCCCATGGAAAGATACTGCAGCCTTTTCAAACTTTCCAATGATCCCATTCCAGATTTCAGTGTTCTTGTATTTGGCACCAAGGGAGAGACCTAGATAGGTGGTTGGGAGTGACCCAATTGTACAACCCATAATGTTGGACAGTTCCTCTAGGTTAGGCACATCACTAACTAGGTACATGATACTTTTCAACATGTTGATATGTAAACCTGATAGTGCTTCAAAGAGGAGAAGTGTCAAATTCAAATACAGTAGTTGTGATGTAACAGGCTGACAAAAGATGAGTGTATCATCAGCATATAGCAAGTGTGACACTGTGACCGAGTTCCCGATATTAGTACCCACATTGAAGCCCTGAATCCACTGCAACTGATTGGCCTTATCCAGCATTTTGCTCAGTCCTTCCATTGCTATATTGAACAAAAAAGGGGAGAGGGGATCTCCTTGCCTGATCCCTTTTTGAGGAGAGAAGAAACCCACTGGACCCCTATTGACTATCACTGGGTATTTCACAGTTGACATGCTGAATCTGATCCATCTTATAAATCTGTCTCCGAATCCCATTTTCCTAATAATAGAGATGAGATAGGATCAGTTTAGCTGGTCAAATGCCTTTTCTATGTCAAGCTTGCACATCACACCGGGTTCACGACTTTTAATCCTCCAATCAAGGGTTTCATTGGCAATCAGTGATGCGTCTGTGATTTGCCTATGTTTTATGAAGGCATTTTGGTGGGTTGAGACCAGCTTGCCAATAATCTTCTTCTGTCTCTCTGCTAGAAGCTTCGAGATAATTTTGTACACACTTCCTGTGAGGCTAATTGGCCTATAATCTCTCAACTCCATGGCTCCTTTCTTCTTGGGAATTAGTGCAATGAATGAAGCATTGCATGATTTAACCATATGGCAGTTATGGTGGAAGTGGTTGAGAGTCCCCAACACTTCTGGCTTGATAAAGTCCCATGCTTTTTGAAAGAACGCCATGGTAAACCCATCTGGACCTGGAGCTTAATCTGGGGCACAAGACTGGATAACAGCATGGCCTTATTCTTCATCGAAAATTGCTTCTATCATTTCGAAACATTTCGTTGTCAACTGCTGAAATTCTGGCCACCTCCTCAAAATTGGTTGTAGGTCTCCAAACTTTATTTTCAGTATACAAGTTCTGGTAGTAATTTAGGATTTCTTCCTTGATCAACTCCTTGTCATCAATTACTTCTCTGCCCACCTTAAGCTTGTCTATAGTGTTGTGTCTTCTATTTGAATTGGCCAATTTTTTGAAGTATTTAGTGTTTCTGTCTCCCTCTTTGAGCCACCGACATCTAGACTTTTGTCTCCACGAAACCTCCTCAGCTTTGACCAAGCTCTGCAGCTCCAGTTTCAAACTCAGAATCCTTTGCTTTTCAGATTGTGTAGAGACTCAGTTTTCTATAGCCTGCTCTAGGACTGAAAGTTCATCAAGTGCTTTGCCTCTTCTATCATCCATTATGTCATAAACCTCTCTGTTCCATTTGCTTATATCCTTTTTCAGGTTCCTCAATTTTTGGACGAGAATAAAATCAGGCGAGCCACCAATCATGTAGTTCTGCCACCATCCCTTTATCATATCAATGAACCCATCTTGCTGCAGCCACATGTTCTCGAACTTAAAGTAGGATGTTGTTGCTTCCCACTCACCACACTCCAGTAGTAATGGCTTGTGATCAGAGATAACCCTTGGAAGTGCTATCTGTTTGATAGCTTTGAAACTTTCATTCCACTCCGAGGAGATTAGAAACCGATCAATTCTGGAAGCCTGGAGAGAGTCTTCTCCCCTTGACCATGTATATTGTGCTCCTTGAAGAGGTAAATCGATTAATTCAAGGTCTAATATAATGTCTGAGAAGTTCCTCATGGCTCTGGATCTTCTAGTACAGTTGAATCGTTCATACTCGAACCTGCAAACATTAAATCACCACCAATCACCCATTGTTCACCCCATAGCCCCCTCACTGCTCCCAGCTCCTGCCAAAACTCCTCCCTCTCTATGTTTGAATATGGACCATACACACCTGTAAAGCCCCACCTGAAATCTTCATGCAAACTGTCAAGGATGTAGGTTATTAAGAATCTACCTTGATAGGAATCAAAACACCTCCATAGTCTCTTGTCCCATAGAACAATAATACCCCCTCTGGTACCACTTGCCTTCAACTCTTCCCCTTCAGCCCATTTATTCCCCCATACTTGGTGAACCATACCTGCAGGCCAGTTCTCTGTTTTAGTTTCTTGAAGACACAAAATATTAGGTTTCCATCTGCGGACTAGTGAACTAATAGTGGTCCGTTTATTATTATCATTAATCCCCCTTATGTTCCAACTAAGAATTTTGATCTTCATCTTTTAATTTCCTTGCATCGCCTGCCCCTTTCCTTCCTGCTACTACCCTCATAATTAACGCCACATTAAATTAACCACTTCGTTCTCACCTTTCTTCTTGCCCTTCTTCTTTTTTGAGCTTGAGCAGTTCCTATTTTGAATCTGAGCCTGACGTTTCTCATCCATTCTCAGAATTAAGTCCATAATTTCATGTTCAAAGCCTGCATGATTAATCCCGAAGGCCTTACATGCTTTACCCAACATTTGCGTTGTCCACTTTGAAATCTCGAGTGCAGTAGGCTCCCGCACCATCTGTATATTAGGCTGCTCATCCTCATACCATGGAAGTGACAGTGAATCACTACAAGAGGGGGTAGAGTACTCAGAGTCAGAGCATGTAATAGTGGTGGAAGCAATTTTAGGCCACTTTGTGTATAAAGAAAGTCAACTTGGGCCTTTTGTTCTTTGCATTAGCCTGATTTTTGGGCCTTTAGTATAGTAGGTTTTATCTACTCTGAGGCCCACTGTCTGATGACATTTGTTGATATACCAAAGTTACTAGCTAGATGAAAATCGGATATATCTGCTTCACTTCAGACAATAGAGGATTCTACAGAGGGATGGATACTTGGGGACCGTATTCAAGTAAACCTAAGCGAATGCGGGTTCATGTGTGTTGTGCGAGGGAGGGAGGTAGATCACCCGTAGATATCTAAACTTACTATTTAACCTAAGTATACATTGATCTAAGAACATCTACGAAGAGCTGAAGACAAGAAAGTGGATCATATTGAAGATTAGTGACACATGGAGGGTTTCTAATGGCCTACTGATGTGTTCTGTTGGGTTTTGCTACATTGCTCATTCTCCAATATGCTTCTGCAACTCTCAATGCGAAAGATGAGCTTAGTACTGAACCTGAAATGTCTCATTTCAATTTTCTTTCTCATGAATCTGATGTACAAAACAACAACATTTTGTGGCTTCTATGGCGGAAAAAAACACATGTGGACATTGGGGTGAAATAGGTTCTTCTATTAGTTCTGACATACTAAAAGTGACACCATAAATGGAGATGAGTCTATTTGTTTTCTTGATCGTCTGGATGAGTATTTGTTTTCTTGATCGTCTGTCTCTTTTCTTGTGACTATCAGCTCTAAGATTTGTTATTGCCCCTCCCCTCTCCCTTCCTGAGCTGAGGGTTTTACGGAAACAACCTCTCTGCCTTTTTAAAAGCAGGGGTAAGGTTTGCGTACGCTCTATCCTCCCCAGACTCCACTTGTGGGACTGCCCAGTTGGGTCTACACTGGGTATGTTGTTATTGTTATCAGCTCTAAGATCCTGTGTTCCATTAAAAATTTTCTTAAAAGAATTTAGTTGTTTTGACTTCAAAACAGATTTATAACAAACACTATATCTCGTGATTTGTATCTAAATCTTCCATCCCTAATTATTATTTTTTGTTGTTCCATACATGAGCCTCTGCAATGGGTTTATTGCTACTGATCAGATGATCCCTAGGGCATGGACAGCAAAAAAATTGTTGGGATTGCCAAATAAGGAACAAATTGTGTCGTGTCACTGTAGTGTAAAAGATACACTAGATATGTATACAGACGGATGCCAGAAGGATTTGTATTGGAAAAGTTTTGTACATTACCTATTGAGAAAAGTAGAGTCATTTTCTTGTCTCTTCTATATCAAGGACCAGATATGTATTTTCTTATGTTTTGTTAGTTCATTTCATCAGAAGATAAAATATTTGTTGTACAGTGACCTTTAGAATCAATGCTGAGTTTTACAATATGGCGCTGACTTCTGTACAGTGACCATTCTACTAAAATATTGCTGTCTCTCGGAGAAAGCAGTACTCTTACATCTTAATTTTTTTAATTGTTAATAATCAAGAGGCCAATAATATAGTCATGAATTTGTAAACTTTTACTTCAACGACCAAGAATTCATTGCTATTTCATAGTACTCTTTTAGTATCTATGTTTAAAAAAGCGAGAAAAACCAAAAACAAATTTAATATCTACATATTGATAATATAATTTGTTGGTGTTAGTGCATTTTAATATTAAAGTGCATTATTTCTTGTGAAATAGTAGTTATAAATTGGCAAGAAAGTGGTCATTATTTTGGTGTAACTCTTGAAATCACTAATGCCATAATTTACCACTAATTACCCACTAAAGATTAAATTTTGTAACCACCATCCTATGTGCTACTATTTTATTATCCCACTATCTTATTATTTATTTCATGGAAGAGATTCTACACCTATAAATAGTGATGTTTCTTCCTTGTGTTGAGATGTAAAAAATATGGTAGTGAGTATGAGAAAAGTGTTATGGTGTACATGAAAAAGGTGTGGTTGGTATTGTGAAAAAGAGAGTTAAGAGAAGGAAAAAAACTAAGTCTCCAACTTATTCTCTACAAAAGAGAATATTATTTTTGTTGAAGGAAGATGTTCATTTTGGGGGAGCTTTGGACTCAACAACTTGTCCGGAGTTTGTTCGAGTCATACGACTTTGTCAGACAGTTGTATCCTGGAGGAGACAAGTCAAGAGTATTACTGCTGGACTGGTGAAGATGCTACTGCAGTGGGCTTGAATCTCCTTAAAGAGAGCGAGATATGCGCGCCTTATTTACTTGTAATTACTTGTAATTTCACCTGTAATTACTTGTAATTTCACCAACAATCTGAAGGAGATTCAATTTTTTTATGCAGTTGAAAAATAGCAGATATCAAGGTAGAAGTTCACTCTTTAAGAGATGAAAAGGCAAAGTATTTTTCTACTTGCTTAACTCAAACGGAGGAAAGGTATAAACATTTTACCACATATTTTTTATGAATATGTGATATATTTTTCATGAAAAATAAATTTTTATAATTCTAGAAATAGTGGGGGTAAAAGAAATAAGAAATTCTTGCATGAAAAATTTGAATATTCATGCATGAGTGAGAGTTGATTAAATCAAAAAATGTGATGAGTGCATCTATCATAAGTCTTGGAATTACATGTAATTATTTGCTTCTATATTGATGATTAATTAATATTTGGCTTTAACATGAATATTATTGGAGAAACTAAAAGAAACTTAGTAGCCATTTTGATATGAAAGACTTGGGTGAGACAAATTTCATTCTTGGAATGAAAATTACTGGAACATGCGATGCAATTTTCCTTGACCACTCACATTATGTTGAGAAAATTTTGAAAAAAATAATTTTATTGATTGCAAGTATGTTGTAACTCCTTTTGATTCAAGTGTTATTTCCTGTACAAAGTGATAATAATGTGATAAATCAAAAGGAATATGCTAGCTTAATTGGAAGCTTGAGAATATGTGACTGATTACACTTGATTTGAGATTGCATACACAGTATGAGTACTTAGCAGGTTTACAAGAAAGCTAGGTAATGAACATTGGCATTCCATAACAAGAGTTATGAAGTATTTACTTGGTACAAAAACCTATGGCTTTTAAAAAAAATATCTTGCTGTACTCGAAGGCTTTTCTGCTGCAGATTAGAACACTTTATCTGGTGATTCCTGTTCTACTACATGTTATATTTTTACTTTGGGAGGTGGTCCTATTTGTTGAAAAAAAATAAAATAATTGCTAACTCTACCATGGAGGCTGAACTAATTTCTTTAGCTTCAGCTAGTGAAGAAGCGAATTAGTTGAGAGATTTATTATTTCAAATTCCTTATTTTGAAAAACCAATTCCTCCTATTTTAATTTATTGTGATAGCACTGCTGCAATTTGTAGAGTACAAAACCGTTATTACGACGGTAATTCCAGACCTATAAAGAGAAAATACAATATTATGTGATATTTGAAAAGTAATAATATTGATATTGATTATGTGATAATCTTGCAGATCCACTAACCAAGGCCTTGTCAAGAGAAATGGTTTGGAACACATCGAGGGGGATGGGATTGAAGCTCATAAACTCATAAATCATATATGAAGAAACCTAAACTCTCTCTTCTATGAACCCTAATCCTTATGATCCTTCATCTCCAATACCCCCCAAACCACCAGACATATCCTGTACCACCATAAATTCAACTTTCCTCTCCTCGCCAAAGTCCCAAATAAACTCACCACCCAACCCTGATGGTAACACGAACATTGACTCAAACGAACCTCCTTCAAACCCTTCTCAATTTGTTAATAAACCATACTTAAACACACTCCTATCTCATAATACATCATCTTCACAGCCTAAAAAAATTGGATCACTAAATCTTTCCTTAAATATTAATGATGAAACGGAGGCACCTACTAACCCCTCCATTTTTATACCACTCTCCATTGAAGAAAAAACAGAATTTACTCACCATGGAAACATGCGGTAATTATCAAGGTATATGGTCGGAATATTGGCCATCAAATACTTAGGCAAAAAATCTATTCCTTATGGAAACCTACTGAAAATCTACCACTTATAGACCTAGGTTCAGATTTTTTCCTCATCAAATTTCAAAAAGAGGAAAATAAGATTCATGCTTTGCATGATGGACCTTGGTTATTTTAAATCATTTTTTCTCTATTCGTCAATGGGAACCCAAGTTTATGGCTTCAGAAACAAAAATCAAATACTCCGCCATCTGGTTGCGTCTACTAGAATTACCTACTGAATTTTATGATTTTCAGATTCTTCAGAAATTGGGTAATAAAATTGGTAAATTACTCACTGTTGATACCTGCACTTCTTCCACCACAAGAGGAAGATATGCAAGGCTATGTGTTGAAGTCCCTTTAGATCAGCCATTAAGAACACACATTTATATTGGTAATCATAAGCAACATATCCTTTATGAAGGATTAAATTTGCTATGTATTACGTGTGGTAGAATGGGCCATAACCAACGAAATTGTACCTCTTTAGTACAAAACACCAATCCCTTAGAATTATCTTCCATAAACAAATCAACCACTACAAACCCTATACCATCTACACTTCCATCTCCATCGACTGAAGAGTGAAAAACTGTCCAATTTCCTAAGAAATTCATCATGAGAATGAATCACCCCAAAGCAAACCCAATCCAATCAGTTCCTGCTTCCATACTAAATCCTCTTCGACCATCAGGTATGCATGTCAATAGCATAAACTCGTTTAATACTCCAAATAATTTACCCTTTACTAACCTTATCATTGCTAATAATAATCCCTCTCTTAACTGTATTATTATTCCTACCACCTCTCCACCACCTATTTTTTCTAATAATAATTTGATTCACTTTGCTTAAATGACTCAACTAACGATAATTCTCTTACTAATTCTACTGACACAGACCTCTTAAATCTCATAATTAACAATCAAATACTCCTACAAAATACTACCCACTCGGCCCACTCAAAACAACCCCAAACTCCAACACCTATCAAAAGCCATGCAAAGAGCCACGATACCCCACCCCACATGCAAGACCAATTACACAATTCCTGTCAATCCACCTCAGCTACCAAATATGTCCTATCCAAAAAATAGAGGTTATTGTTTAAATCATAGCAAAGAAAATTGTGCTTAAGTGATAAAATAAAGTGTAGTGCCCATAGGTAATTTAAGTCATTATTATCCATATGTATCATACCTATCCCTAAACCTACATTACAACCTTGCAAAAGTCCTACATGATCTCGACTCAAAGAGTCCTACATTAGTGGAGAACCACATGATAGTCAAGCCTATGGCAATTTCCAGTAGCTTGAGGTACTTCTTTGTTGAGAGAGAGTGAATTTTTCTATCTATGCCCTTCTTTGTTCTACATCTATATATTGTGTGATATATGAGCATCTCTCTTCATTTGGTGAGACACACTAGGGATTAAGAAATATTATGATTTCAGTTCTCAATAGGTGAATATGAGTACAGTTAAAAGTTGTCTGAACTTGTGAATTGGTCTTAGTTACTTTTTCTTTGGCGAAAGGTCTCATGATTTTGGTTAAATTGTTTAGCTGATATGTTTAGTTATTTTATTTGCTCGAGGACGAGCAAATATTCAAGTGTGGGAGAATTTGATAAGTGCATTTTACTTAATTTTTAACATATAATGTCTTTGAAAAACACAAAAAAAACTATCATATTTCTTTCATACTTTGTCTAAATTATGCAGGAAAAGTTAAAGAAGGATTGGTCCAGGAACGAGAAGATTACAGAGGAAAAAGTAGAAAAACGGACAAGCTAAAGCAAAGTAAAATATGGTGCTAAAGAAAGACGTGATATGCCATGACAAAGGACAACCGACTCACAACCGGCTACAACAAACTATAACCGACTCACAACCGGCTACAACAAACTATAACCGATCCATAACCAAAGAAGCTCATAACCAAGCATAACAAGGCCACAACCAGCCATAACAAGTTCATATCCGAGAGTGTATTGAAAAGTTTGTCATGGCTTGGCTATAAAAGAGGCATCAATCGTGAAATGAAAGAAGGGGGAGCGAGAGAAATCTGAGAAGTGAATATTGAGCCGAAAGTTTTTTTCTTTCTCTTTGTTCTTTAGTTTTGCTTCTGTTTCATCTTTTAGCCATTACTCTGGCTTCATTTCTAGTTCAGAATAAATTGTAGTATTGGAAATTACTCTAGTTCCTATTTTTAATTAAATAGGGGGAATTATTCTCTTGAATATTTCTTTCTATTTTCTTATTTAATGGGCAAGA